CATCAACTCTTCTCATTGAATTCCTTAAATCTTTTCTAGGAACAGTTATTCCTCTATGTTTTAAATACCCTTTCATCATGACTTCTCCAGTATTGGGGTGATTCAATAAAATATCATGAACAATTTCATCTAAATTACCATCGTCAATGTCGCTGTACATACGAGCAGAAATTCCCATGTCTTTTAAACGCCTAAATATTGTTCGTTTGCTTAATTGCAGGTGATCTGCAATTGAGTCTACATTATAACCAGATTCTAACAAACGTTTAATGATTTGATGTTCACTACCTGGTTGGCCAATTTCCATTCGTCTCTGACATTTCTCTTTCAAAATAATTCGCTGTCCATCATCTAATCCCAGTTGCTGAAACTCTTCTTCTGACAGTTCATTTATTATGGCCAGAGTAATCTGTTATTAATCAGTTACAAAAATGAAATTGATTTAATAAAATAGGGTTTGATATCAGTTATTAATTTTTTTTTTCATTTCCAAGAAAATGATAAAAACAGCGAATTACTGTATTTACGATTACTCTTGATGTCTTTTCTAGCTTAAACACGTTTTAAACAAATAAAACAATGAACACACACATACATTCATAATGCCAATTATAAATACAATGTATTTTTTAACTAGACATGTTGAATATATTGGGATGATGTTATTGTTAGTTAAAATAACTTGAATAATAATTCAACCTTCAAAAAGGACTTTAGTTATGGTTATCATTTTATTGCATGCAAACATTAGTATTATTACGGCTTGTATAACCACCTAGCGTACAATTATTAATATTTTATTATAAAATAAAACTATAATATTAAAAGCCTACTCCCAAACCCAAAGCGTTCCGTCTAGGTTACTATTAGCTAGCTAGGCAGGCTGAGGCTATATAGGGCCTACTACTAACTAGTACTTACTAGCCTACTTGGCCTAGCCTAAGCCTAGGTGAATTACAGACGATGCCTAGGGCTTGGTCTAGAGGCCTAGGGGGGCCTAGACCTAGGCTAGCCATAGTTAGGCCTAGACCCATCCTCCTTCGTGAGCATTAATAAAGAAATAACTTGGCGTAGAACCTTTTCTCTCGTAAAAACGTCTATTAAATGTGTTAGTGAAAGTTCGTTCAAAATGGAAATAAGGTCTTCATCCATAATTTTCCAAAACGGAGATGAGGTACAGTAACATACGTGCTTTCTTTGGCATTTAAAGCTAGGCCTAGGTCTAGTCTTCTGGAACAGTCGTTGTTTTCATTAAAAATTTAAGGTGCCAAATAAAAAAGTAGCCGAACAAACAGTCGCCAAATGAGATTGAAGCTGCCTAATGTTAAAGTTGCAGCCGAATGCGATTTGGGCCGAACACACAGTCGCCGCCTAATGAAAAAGTCTCAGCCGAATGCTATTTGTGCCGAATACAAAGTCGCCGCCTAACGATTAAGTCGCACCGAAGGTCGTCCAGAATGACAGTCCCGGCGTTCCATACGAACGCCGGGACTGTCATCCTCGGCGACTTTTATATTCGGCGGCTACTTTTTTATTAGGCGACCTTCAAGTTTCGGCGACTATTTCATTCGGCGGCGACTTTTTTATTTGGCAACCCATTATTTTCGGCGGATTTAACATTCGACAGCAACTTTTTGAGTTAGGCGACTTTATCGTTCGGCAGCTGTTTTACAGTTTTACGGCTACTTTTGAAAGATTACGGTCTTTCTTAGAATTTTATTGTTCGGCGACTCCTTGGAAGGTCATCATAGGTATTTCCAACGACTGGACTAAAAAGACTACAAAGATCGAAGCGGCTATTTTGACATCCCATGGAGAATCTTCCGCGATAAGTTTTCGTAATCATCACACCTCATAACCAACTCGGCCTAGGCCTAGCTAGGTTCCCTGCTAGGTCTAGGCCAATAAAAAGATGATTTACTTTGCATTTTACTTTAGTTGGGTTAAGACGTTTGAGATGGCATCATCAAAGAAGAAAAGTTTGCGTGATATCCTGCGAGAAATAAACTTAGAACACCTCTTCGATAATTTTGAACGAGAAAAGGTAAACATTTTTGTTGTTTTTAATTTTAAAATAAATGTCACTGACAATGCCTAGGCCTAACCACTAACAGGTGATATGCCAAATATATGTCAATTAAAACTAGGCCTAAGTGTATCAACTTATTTTATTTATTTATTTAGCATGTTTTGTAGGTAAAAATACCTAGGCCGGCCCTAGTATTAGTAGGCCGGCCCTAGTTAGTAGTAGTTAGTAGGCCTAGGGCCTAGGCCTAGTAAATCATCATCCTTGTTAATTCCGTCAATCCTAGCAGCAGCAGATGAGGCTGAAGATTTTCTAAGCTTGGCTGGCTTAATCACCAACATAAATTCTGTTGATAAGAAGAATCAATTAGTTTCAAGTGCTGTGAGGTTCTATGTTTTAGACAGAACTAGATCAGCCTTTGAAAGGTTTGTAAAATTGTAATTAATTATTTTGTACTTAAATTTGTTTGAATTCATTTTTTACCTGGGAAAATAAGATTTACAGTAATTGTGATTTCAAGTTAATACTTTTTTTTTTAAACAAATTTTTATTTTGTGTTATACTTATTTAATTTTCAAAGTGTACTTAGGTACAATAAATTACATTATAATAATATCCTGTCAAGGGAAATGCATTTACTTGCACTTACCTTTTTTTCGTTGAATTCTATTGTTTTTTTTTTCTGATTAATTTAAAACTGTCCATATATAATTTAAAAACCATATGCTAAACATTTTTCACTTTATTGCTGCATTTTCGTAGAATGTCATGTTTGTTTTCACTTACCTCTTTTGGTATTTTTCATTATTATATATTTTTTCAGATTACTTTCTAGGCTTGAAACTTTAGGTGTCCTGAACACTATAAAAGAAAACCCTGTTGCCTGTAGAAAGGCTTTCATTCACAGTGAGGAATCAGAGTTGACATCAGAAAGATTAAAGACAATATTCCATGTGGACTTCAGTGAGAAGGGCAGTAATAAAAGAAGCACTGAAGAAGTTGTGCTGTCACAGTTTTTTTTATTATCTTATAGATGTTGAAGGTATAGTTAGTTTTTAATATAGAATGGGGAAAAAAAACATGCTCAGCTTACATGCACAAATGTTTTATCCTCCACAATCATAAACACTTATTTAACAGATTGTCTTCAACCTGATATTATATAGTCAGGACCCTGAATGCATGCACCTAAACTGAAATAAAAAAAAATTGAAAACAAAATCAAGGTTTTAAAATAATTAGCAAGGTTTATGGCACACCAT